ACCGATTTCACGATTCATTAAAGTTGGTGTTTTTGTGAGTAACATTTGCACTGTACAGCAATGTAATTTTATTTAAAAAGAACTTAAAGTAAAACAATTCCCCACACAACATCCAGTTTTGAACCTGCAGCTTGTCAGGCCTTTGCTGAACAGAGCAGCACTGCTGTGTGATTCCTGGAAACACCTGCCCTGCTGTCAGCAAACACTTCCACAGAATGGAAAAAAAGGATGGATGTCTCAAGCCAGATGGGGGTTAATGGGCCATAACACTAAGGTGAGAAGCCATCATGGGTCACCCATTATACCTACAGCGACAGATGGCTGACTGAGAGTCATCACGGGGCTCCTTAGCACCTGCAGGTGTGACCCAACAAGCCTGGACAAACACCAGCAGGCATGAGATCTGTATTTAGAAGTGTCACATACATTTATTTCTTAATTCACATGTTTTTTCCTAGATCTATTATTTTCATTGATTATTAAATATTCCCTATACATCTGAACATCTGTCTGTGAAAGAGTAGAATTTTCTTTTAAAAAAGCAGCTCACAAAACGCTTTTTTTTTCTGTTGCTCACGAATGCAACTGACCAGGACTATTTTAGTGGCATTTTAAACTTTGATTTGTTTAAAGGGGGACAAAAAAAGACAAACTGCTAACATAAAGAGGGACGGTTTTACTCCAGCTGGTTTCACAGGAGCTTACAGTATAGATCAGGGGTTTTCAATTAAAATTTAAACAGGTCCAGTCAGAGAAAATTTCTTAAGACCAAGGTCCATAAGATCATAATGTTTTACTATTTAGAATTATATATATTTAAGTAATAGTTGTATCAACATCTGCACAAACTGATTTTCATATAAAATTAAATGAATTCAGTCTAATTCAAATAGTTTTTCAATATTTATTGTCACGTAACAAAAAGATGAACGTGAAATTCTAAAGTCTGATGTTTAATGTTCTCTTACTGTGTAAAAGTATGATGAACGTGTCAAAATACGAAACTAAATACATGACAACTGTACATGTTGATTTGGTACATTTGTTCAAAACGTTTATACTTTGTTTCATAATGGAATTACAGTGGTTTGCAAAAGTATTCATACCCCTTGAACTTTTCCATATTTTGTCACATTACAACCACAAACATAAATAT